GTTCTTCTGATTCTTTTCCTATTTACACCAGTTTAAAGTTTCATTGCAGTGGTGTCAGTGGAGTTATTTCACATGCGTACTACTTTTTTCACCTACTGAAATAAGATTGGGTTTGGTCAAGGGGCAATGTCTAATTTATAGAGATTAGTGATAAAAGAGAACAACACTAAGATGACTCTTGCCTACAGAATTCCTTGGTTAATGACAGTAAAGCAAGACAGCCTGGTTAAAGAGAGGTTTCTCCATTTCCATAATACCAAGTGATGCCCAAGCAAACAATTTCAAGAGAAAGCCTTTTATTAAGCTGAAAGGGTCAAGTCTAAGAAGTAGCTCTGCTAGGAAAGCTGTATCTGCCATCCTGTCAGCCGCAGCTCATACGGTACACACAGCCTGCCTTCCTCCTCCCTGCAGATTGCAGTTGCATCTATCCCTTGAGATAATTTCCTGCATTTCCAGCTCATGATGGGAAAACTGTCAGTTCCTGCTTGTATCCCACCAGATGTGGTCACAAGCAGTCAGCCAGTTCAGTGATCTTTAGTGGGAGACAGACAGACCAACTGCATGAGCTCATACCCCTTGTTTGCCCGACAAATCAGGCCACAGACTGGCTGTCAAAGCTGACTTCTCGTACAGAAAGTCACTTTTGACAACCCCATGAAAAATAAATTTGGCCATCATGGAAAAATTTGAGGGGGATTTTGCAATATTGCAGAAAATTGTGGATGGAAAAGGTGAGAATTATTTTAAAAGAGTTTGGAAGGTGTGATTTGCCTCAGGTATAATTCAGCCTAGCTGAAACTTAGTAATAAATAGAGCTCTGCATGGGTCGAGTTACCTGCTGCCCACTCAGAGACTGCTCAAACCATAGACAGATCATTTGCATGTACTTGCAATAGGTGCAAAGGAAATTCCATCAGGAGCCTTAGGTGTCTCATTAGCTACCTAAGTGCTTACAAAATTCCTATAAGAAGCTCTTTCCATGGTCTCTTAAGGAACACTTCAGACCATGTCATGAGATTTTGGAGGGGTGGCTGTCAGGAAAAAGAGTCCTAAAGGAGGATACTGTGACTTTATTATGATGAAAAGGCAGAGCAATATTGAAATTCATTGCAACAAGCAGGAAGAGGAGATGCAAATAAGTTTATTAAGCTTTATCCCACCCAGAAACATCAAATCAACTATACATGCACATATGCATATTCCATCTAATTCCAAGGGCAAGATTTGGCTCAGTCTCTACAACAACATTGCATTCCAATATGCAGCCAAAATATTGATTTAGAATTGCTAATATCTTGAAACAGTATGAATTGCAGTTAAAACGTAGTGTTTGAAGCCTGCCACGCTTGTGGCAGAAGCCTTGGTTTAAACTTGACATACTTCACTACAAGATGATCATCCCTTCTTTCTATCATAGGAATTGTTCTGCTTTACAATGAACTTGTAGAATTCCCTGGCTGAGCTAGTGAATAGCTTTATTTTTGTTGGCTAGTTGAGATGATGTGATCAATTCCCCTTTCCCTGGGCTAATGCCACTCTGATTCCAAACCTGAAAACAAGAGGTCATCTTTAGAAACTGCAGTCTACTTTCCCTGGCAAAACTGTGACTGGAAACTATGTTGCAAATGAGGAAAAAAGCAAGGACCTTTTTTTTGTGGAAGCATATATATGGAAGGAAAGCTAGGCAATTTTCTTTCACTAACTTACATGAGACAATCTCAAAGCTTCCAAAGGTCTCTGGTTCCTTGCCACTGTTTAGACAGCTTGTGTAGACAACTGCACCAAAATCCAGGCTGGGCAATGAAATCATTTATCACATGCATGGAAGTACAGTCTTGAGGGTGAGAGAAATTACAAGACCACTGATTTATAACATGAGTTTATAAATATTTACCTTGTTCTTCTAAATTCTTTCCATCATTCATGTTACTGTTCAAAGTGTCACAAGAAATCACTCAAGAGGTATCCCATCCACACTATATGAGAGGCATTATAGACGTGGGAATAAGTATATTTTTTAGTAAAGAACGTTTGTAAGTAGTCCCTTGGGCAGAGTTGCCCCTCGTGGCAGAGCTAGAGGAATCTAATCTGCATAGCAGTACTAAAGGCAAAGACACAATATAGAAGGGTTGCAATCTACAGTGCTTCTATAAGCTGTGCTTGCCTTGGAGCCATATACATGGTGTTTACCAGGGAAAAATCACAGCATGTGCAGCACAGGCTTCCCACAGCACCATACTGAGGATGTGGAAGAGCTTTGCTCTTCTTATCTATCCCTGTGTTCATGTCCCACCAGTGGGTATTGCAGCTATTTGAGATCTTCAAGAGTGCGCTTCAACTAGGCTTTCAGATGTAAATAACTTGCAGCCAGTCACCAGTGCTCCTTTCCAAAATTTGAACTTAAAACTTTGAGTTGAAAGATTTTACATCCTGTTGTCTCTGCCTCATCTCCATCAGCTTCTATTTCTTAGTGTTACTATTGTCATTCTTTCTATTCTTTTTCATTCTTCCAGAGGTGCCCTGTACTGCTTCTGATTAAACATACCAGCAATAGCCAGACAGTAAAGAAAACAGCATCAGTTCATGCACAGAGCCAACAGCAAAGGAGAGTTAACTTAGGCTGCGCGAGGTCAGCGCTGCATCCTGACAGAGCCTAATGTTTGCTAACCCATACATATTTTTTGTCCAAGCATCCAGCTCCACATCAGACTCTCTCTAAACATTTATCAACATTCATCTGTGTGGTGTTATTCTGCAGCATTTTGGAAAATATGCTCTACCCAGTCACCAGTGCTCTTACACTAATGACTATATTTTGTGAAAACACAGTAAGATATATTCAGTAAGAGTCCAAGATTTCTAGTTTGAGAATTAAAGTATAAAAAATTTTATTGTGCACATAAGATTTAGTAGTTTGGGGTTTTTTGACTAGCACTGCTACACCACCTTAACATTTTCTGTCTATATTTCCTATTTATTCTTTTGATTTTGATTACTTTGTTGGCACCCACCATAGGAGAGTCCTCATTCACGTTTGAGTTCCTATACACTTCTAGAAGCTTTTAGCAATCAATTGTTTCCCCTCTCAGTGCATTAGTGGATATCCTCAGCTAATTATGTGCTCCTATTGCCTTCATTATATGGGATTAGAGCATTTTCACTGTCACCTGAATCTTCCATTAGACAGTTTTTCCAGCTTAAACAATTCATTAAGAAAAGATGCTACCTTATCTTGACATCCCCTTATGTCAAGTTACAAGAGACTCCAAAACTACAAAAATTACTTAATTGCAAACAACTCAGACCATGTCTAAAACCAGTCAGGTGCCACATTTCCCTGGTGAGGACATATTATAAAAGTCTCCACTATTGGGAATCAATACAGAATGAAAACTCACACCAGATCACATCAAACTCCCCTATTCCACATCTGATCCTGGGCAGTAGGCGGCACTTATAGGAAGGTGTGGATACAGGACAAGACACAGCAACCGCCTCTGAGGATACTTTGCCATCCTCTGGTACCGCCAAGTAAGTATCTCTGCATCCCCCCAGTTTCTCACCCAATAAATCAACCTCTGTAGAGTCTATTCAACAGCTGAAATATAACTACATGGGCCACCAAGCTTTGCTACACCATCCTGAATATTGGAGATTAGGATGCTTTTGTCCAATGTAGGCGAAAAAAATGAAATCCTTAGATTCAGGATTGCTTGACATTCATTGCAGTGAATTAGGATCTTATTCTCAATTCCCAGGCTCACCCTCTTCTCCATCTCTCTCACCTTCCCCAGTTACTTTCCTCAGTCTATGGACTCTGCAGTCCTGTAGGGCTTGTCCACATTGTCTCACAAGGGATGGTTCATGCCTGAGTACTCCCATGTAACTGGCTCAGGTAATAATATCAGAGTACTGAAGATAATCATCTCCACTCTGGATAGCCATTCAAGCACATATGCTGGGTCTGTGGATGGCTTGTGCAGCTATGCTCACATCTTGATTTCCTATGCATACCTTTCATTAGTGAGTCCCTGGAGAGGAGAGCAGCCACACTTCCCTGCCACCTGCTCTTTGTTCCTGAAGGCTCGTTTCACTCCAGGAAATGATCCTGTGCCAATTCTCCATGTCTCAATTCAGCCCTGTGCTCTTACGCCACATACCCTATCTGTGAGAATGAGCTTTTAATCTCTCTGGGGCAGGAAAAGTCTTCTCAGCAATTTTACAGCTGTGTATATACTTCAGAGTGCTCTATAAATACAGCTTTAAATCTCTGCATTTAAAAGAGATGGTGGAGCATGTATTACAAGAAGTAACACATGAGCCTGATAGCAGGGCTGCTGCCATTCATTCCCCAATTCCTCATCCACTAAGTGGGCAATCAGGTGGCTCTCACACCTGAGCTGTGGAACTGCTCCTTGTCCCAAGGAAGCTCTGTATGCATTTTTGGTTTTGTGACTAAATTGTGCCACTGGGTTCCTCCTTATGCATTTCCACCGCATCCCTCAAGCGGTAGACCTCCCCATGGGAGTGCTTATAGGAATTCACAGGACATTGGGCAAAAATTGGAACACAGTTGAGCTCAAGCCTTACTGAGGAATAGGAGACCAAAGAACTACCCTGACAAAGCTGCTCTATGGATATTCCAAAAGCCGTTTCCTGGGTAGTTACTTTAGCTACTCCAAACATAAACAGAAGTCTCACATGGGACTTAAACCTACCTCTTACTCTTCCAAGGAATTTGGATTTTCTAGTTATTTATGCTCCTTCTTACCCTGCTCCAGCAACAGAGCCATTCCTTATAGCCATTCACCAGCATTTTTGGTGCTCTAACAGTCCAGATGCCAAGCTTTGAATTCTTATTTTCTTCCCCCGCCCGCTATAGCGGCAACATCTGTGCCTGTGGTTACTTCCTCGCTGGCCTCTTATCAAGGCTTCTTCTCTGACTTTGTGGCTAACTCCACTGCTGTTTGTGATGACAGCTGTTGCACTGGTGCAGAACCAGCCATCTGGTGACCGACTTGTCCTCTTGGACACTATTTTCTTCCAGCTGTCAGGAATTTACTGTTGGACTGGAAATAATTTAGTATGTAAATACATTCTTCATGATATCCAAGCTATTACTTCCATGGGCAATGCAGTGGTCCCATCACAATTCCCACACCCGGGTGCATCCACAGCCACCTCTCTTCTCTCTCTGGGGAGGGATGTGTGTGATCACTCAAGCCAAATAAACTTTTCAACAGTTTCAGGCCTACAAGTATGATCTTTTCACTCTTTAGATTCAATAAACCCTGTCCAGCATGCCCATACTTGTGTGCTCCAGCAGTGGGAATACAGATCACCCCACACTGCTGCTTCTCTGAACTCTAAAAAGAGGTTTTTGCCATTTAGCTCATGCAGTTATCGTTCATTCCTAGCTGGCCTGTCCCAGAGGCATGCTGCTGACAGAGGCTGCTTGCTCTCTCTGAGCATCATGCCTCTGATCTGCAGTCTTACCATCACTGCCTCTCAGATCCACAGCGACAGAGAGCCTTGTTAACATCCCTGTTTCCCCCAGGGAGACACAAAAGCAGAGGGTCTGCTGCTTAAGAATGCACACTGCATTGCGTCCTTTTCCCCCAGTGCATAATTTATGATTGGACTAAAAACTTACAAATTCATCATAGCTTGTGTGTCTTGAGAGAAGCATAGCTAGCTATGGCTCCTTAAGACTGTTAACCTAACAGCTATAGTTGTAAAACCCATTTCTGTTCACATATCTAATCTATCATTTAATCATCTCATTTGTTCCATTAAGACTTGAGGTAATGAGTCCAGAAAATTTTGTGTTTTCTTACATTTCAATTTTATTGCAGTCCTTTATCCATCAGTGGTGCAATCACATTGTTCCATTCTACAGCAGAAAAAATTTAATCGTCTGCATACAAACATAAGCAGCTCCATTATTCCGTTCTGCTGCTTAGCAGAAGCAGTTTTCCTCAAGGATATCCTAGTGATGTTTTCTCTGACACCTAACGCTTCATAAGGGTGAGCTTTTGGTTTTGAGGCTTTTGGGTTTTTAACTGACTTGTGGAGAATGCAGAGTTCATTCCCCACATGTAGACTGAGACAGCAATAGTTCACAATCAAAAGTTAATTTGCAGGACAGGAATTGCTATATAAATTTAAATTTCAGCTTCATTCCCCTGAGGCAACAGCTTTAGTCACTACCATCAAATGCTTTCCTGGTGGAGCTGCACAAGATTATTTCCACGCGGTAACTACCAGGAGAAAATTAAAGAAAGGCGCACAAAAGTGAAGAGTGTAAGAGTGCCCATCCCTGTACTTTTTACTAAAAATACAAACTGCCAAATCCTGGATGCTTGCATTTAAAAAACAACAATGAAAATTGAACTATTATATTTAAACTATTTAATGGAAATAAGCATACCTTTCCCAGAGAAACATAACGGGATTTTCTGCTGTTTTACAAGCTTCATTTCACCTCTTTTTAAGAAAAGGAATTTTTCAGCCAAATAGCCTGTCCCCTTCTCAACACCCTCTCTAAACACATGGCTGAGTTTTCTTCCTACCAGCTTCTCGGCAGCAGCACAGAACTCTTGCAGCCTCCTCAGCAATTTGAGTCTTCCACATAATTCAGGCAAGCCCCTAACTTATACAGGCAATCCCCAAAACTATATGCAGTGTGAGCAGCCCAGCCCTGCTCTATCCTTCCTGTGCCAGCATCTCCTCCTTTCCCTCTGCTTCTACCTTCCACCACACCAAAGCTGGTGAGAATTGTCCGAGGTCATCCTGTGCCAAGTAAGTCCAACCTTGATGGACATACAGCTCTATGGCTATCTAATGGTCCTACCCTTTTAGCATGGTGTGAGAAAGGTTGCAAGGGTGTCAGGTTATTACTTCAAAGTCCTCCACAATTAGTAACAGACGAATAGCAGCAGGACAGAACAGTTGCTTCTCAGGGTGTTTGAAGGCATTTTTTTGCCTTACAAGAAACCCATGAAGAGAAAACACCAAACAGAGATAAGCTGGGACTTCATTTTATGCAAAAGTTGGATTAAAGTGGTTTTCTAGGACACAAAGTATGCGAGCACACTACCATTTTTGAAGCCTCAGCCCTCCACCGCCTCACCAGAAATGTAGCCCAGGCTCTGCTCAGCTCCACTTCTTCCAGCTGGCCCTTGGCAACCTGCTTTCCTGCATTTGTAACCCCTCTCTCCCCAGCCTCCGTGTCGTAACGCGCTGGTAACAATAACATTTCTGAAATCAAAATCCTTTGCAGGCCAAAAAGCTGAGCTCAATCAACGCAGGGGGAAAGCAAACCACAGAGAGCTATTGTTTCTGAAAACTGTCCAAAAACTCTTGGCGCTTCAAGGCATTCCCAATGTCCTTTGCACTATTTCCAGGAAAAATTATTCCCAAGGCCTTGTGTATTAAAAAAAAAAAATCTGGCTTATATCAATAAACATGATAACTGCTGTATTTTTTCTCTTTAATCAGAGCACAGCTAGCATGTACAAGCAATCAGAGCTGAGTCAAATAGCCTGTTTTAAGTGTAGCATTTCAGAACTAAATTTATGCTTCTCAATGGAGAATTTAACTCCTGGGACTCCTGAACCCAAGCATCATCTTTGACAACATTTACGTAATGCAAATTCTTGAAGAAAATTCATGGGCAGATGTTGGTGGAACAAGTGGTAGAAAAGGCAGAAGAGCAGTTTTTCTGACCCAATAGACTTACTCAGCTTGTCGCTGTTGTGGCAGAAGCACTGTCTGCACCAGTAGCTGGGTTGCAAGCCTAGAAACATCATTGCTGGTTCTGATCCCAAATCCGAACATACTGACTTCCAACAAGTCAAAGCGCAGCGAGGTTGCAGGGGAACGTTAAAGGATTTAGATGAGATGAGGGGTCCATCACTCTCCTTACCTCCTACCTGATAGAGGAAATCCAATTTGCAATTAAATTGTAACTCAAGTTGAAGACATATAGTGTGTGGCCCAGGATAGACAAACTGCAGGCAGTATCACGGGTAAGAACATTGACTCAGTAAGAAAACTATTGGCAAGCACCACTGAATTACGCCCATATATTGTTTTTCCTAGCTGTGCAATATAGTAAGAGTGTTGCACTTATAATTCAATACAACCAAGCAAGAATTTCCATACATCCCTTGTTCAGAATAATAGAATATATTTTGTCTCATTTTAGCTATTCAGTAAGATGAGAAACTGTTCTATTCCCTGGATTATGAGCTGTTCTCACAGTGTTACACAGCCAAAAAAAAATTTTGAATGTCTCTGTTCTTCCTATCCAGGGCCTCAGGTGGGTGGCTTTGGAATGAAGAACTTGTAAATGAAAACTGAGGTGATCAGGTGTACTTTAAGATTTTGCAGCTAAAGGAAAGTCTTCAGGATTTAGAAAAGGTGTGAAAAGATAGATGGCCATAATTTTGTAATTTGTATTTATCCACCTCCTGCTCCAAGAATCATATTTTGAAGAGATAAACAAGAGTCTAGTATTCCTGTGAGAACAGTGAGAAGCTTATGGATTGTTTTCAGATTTCTCACCACATGCTGTCTCTACCACAGTCCCATAGAAGAACTGCTGTCTTCCTAAGAAGGCACTGTGCAATGAAATAGTCTTTCAGGTCTATGTCACCAAAACAGAGAAATTACGTGTTAGGGAGTTTGGGTTTTTTGTTTGTTTTGGGTTTTTTCCAAACAAATGGTGCACTTTATGATGTCCTACCTCACATCACTATCAGCTCTCTCAGTGTTAGACTTGCCAAACACTTAGCCTTACTGCAATATTTAACATGCGTATTTTATTTTCAGAATTACTGTGAAACCATTTATGTGCCATGGAAAATTAAAAACCAAAGATCTACTACAAAAACCCAAACCAGTCAGTTTCACTCCCTCATTTAGCCAAATCTACCTCCAGCCCCCTGATTTCACAAATATTATTAGAAATACATAGTCAATTTATTACTCAGGTTCAGGAGAAATGGTTGTGTTGTGAAATTGGGGGCTTTTTGTTTGGGTTTTTGTTTGTTATTATTAATAGCTTTGCAGCTGCTCTACTTCAAAAGTTTCAGCCTCAGAAATATGGAACTGAGTATTGGGAAAACCTCATTTAGCTATGCAATATCTGTGCATGGTTAAGTCAGTTTTCTTGTAGCAGCTAGTCCTAACATTGGTGGGTGATGGGATTCCCATGCTTGAGGTGCTGATGCCTTTGGGACATCTCAGTTACTGGAGCCAAGAGAATGAACTCTTCTCTGTTACTGCTTTTACAAATATAGTCAGTCTTTTAGTAATTTTTCTACAACAAAGTTACCACCACCTTTATGAAGAACAATGATGTTAATTTGTGAGGCCACTCCGAACCAATGCGGTGCTGAAGAGCTTAAAAAAATATTTCATCCCTTCAGGAAAGGGATACAGTACCTTTATAATTATTAGGAGAAAACGCAGTTAAGCATAGAAGTAGGCTTCACACGCGTAGTAAAGAGCACGAGTGACAAAACCTTGGATCTAAGCTGATTTCCTTCTCTTCACTGCAGAGACCCCTGGAAAAGCCGGATGGCCTGGATGTTTCGGATCAGAGCAAAGAACATCCCCAGCATCTGTGTGAGAAGTGCAAAGTTTTGGGCTACTACTGCCGCCGTGTGCAATAAACCTTCAAGTGGCCTCTTCCCGTCCCCATCATCCTTAAAGATCCTCTGGCAGCACGCGATCAACAGCAACACAACGAATCAAGATAAAAGCTAAAATAATTGCCAATATTGCCTATCTAATAATATGCCTTACCATTAATAGAATGTAACATTTCTCCTGTGCATACACATGCATGCCACAGGTATTTACAGGACTGATTTATATACATACATATATATGTAAATTCATATATATATGTACACACACATATATAAAGTGTTACTGATAGTGTTCACAACAGAACCGTGGTTGCAGGTTCTGCTGATTGTTTACACAGACCCTATATCATGGCCAGGTGAAATGAAGTACTAGTCAATAGGCAAGGTATAATATTCACAAGGAACATATGTTGTATGTATGGCCTTTGCAGAGGTTAAATAACTGTGGGGCCACTAATCACAAGCACTTGCCCACAACATGAACATTATTCCTATTATATGACAAGACAAAGGAAGATGAAACAAGCCACAGCATAAAAGGAGGAAAATTATTGTTTTCCCAGTTTTAGAAAGTCTGAGAGTTTTGTGCTGCTGCTTTCTTGGACTTTTTCTATTTGTTACCATCACTTGGGCAGGGCTTAGGCAAAATCATTTTTGCAGGACGTGGCAAAAAAGTGAATAATTGTTTGAGGGTGTGGGTTGGGTAGAAAGGGAATGCCATAATGGGACCCAGAGCATCAGGAAGGATTCCAAGAGGTTTTTGAAGGAGACAAAATTGGCTTGCTTGTGCAACTAACAGGTCCTTCTCTTGTCATATAATCCCGCCGAAATGGTCCCTGTATGTGTATGGGCTGTTCATTAGGCCACAAGCACACTAAATTTACTGTGAATAAGGCGGGGGGGGGATAAGAATACTTAAAACTGTCCCCAAACTCCTTAAATTGAAAGATTAGCCAAACTTACTATTTATAGTACTTTTAAAGCCACTTTCTGGAAATATTTTTATGTCCTGTTTTCTACTGTACAAATTTGTTATAATATAAAACTTGTTAGCCATGGGGGTGTTTTGAGGCATGGAGAACACTCTATATAACCTTCCCTCTTTATGTCTTCCTGAAACACCTACATACCTGAGGAGAAATGTAGGAGTTATATTTCATTGTCCCATTTCAGGTAAAACTTTGTGCAGGGCATCCTGCTGCAAAGAAGTATCTTATCAGGGATTGGGAAGTATCATGAACTGAAAGTACCTCGAGACAGTATCCTGTTTGTATGTCTACATAAGAGTACATTGGCAAAAGGACAAAACAAGCAATTCACTTGCATTATTCACTAAAAAAGGGATAATGTTTGTTTGGGTTTTTTTTTTTTAATCATCAATTTCTATTTTTATGAAGTTACCTTTAGAGATTTGTGTAAATGATCCTTAATGGAAATACTTTAAATCCTAAATAACTTGATGTGAATTAAATTTCTTTTGAGGATTAATTCCATAACGCTAAGACAGAGGGATTTTAATGCTAAGTTATACCAGGATGTTACCAGTACGTACAGTCAAGCTCTTGTAAAGCAAATTGAAAACTTACAGTGAGCATTTGTATAGGAAATGTGAAACTCTACAAATTTGCTCTAGGGTGAAGCTTTTGCCATTTTTCTGCTTTGCTATAAGCAGGGCAAAATTGTTTCTGCTTATTCTGGTGGTAGTGTCATGTACATATCTCACAAACTTTGTTATTTATGGGTAGTCCAAGTAAGCCAGCCTACTGGTTGGAGCGATGGATAAACATTGGGACTCCTGGCTTCTGACTCTAGCTCTTCCATTAGCTCCCTGATTTTGGGCAAGTCACAAAATCCTTCTGGACCTCAGTTTCCCCGACTGCAAAATGGGGATAATAATACTTCAGTATACCTACCTCACAGGAGAGTTGTGAGGCTTACTTAATATCTGTAAGTGTTTTGACATCACTGGACGAACAGTGCTATGTAATGCTAAAATAGTATTAACTAAATTAATCACTTCAAAACTAGTTTTGCACAGTTGGCAATTCCATCAATTAATACAGCTGAAATAATATTGAAAGCTAACACTAACAGCAATTCAGTTGCCTCAGTGAAGATAGGCAGTTTTAGCATTTTCAAACAGAAACACATTCTTTTGCACAGGCTCACAAATTACCTTAGAGACAAATTCTCCAAACAAAGATACTAATATGCCCATAAGATTAAGAAAATGCACAGGTAAATCTAGGGGTGGATTTTCAAAGTTTGATCTCCAGTATTAACCTTGGTATTTAGTTTCAAGCACAAGTAATGTTCAAAGAGCTGCATGCTAAACTAGATCTATTTTTTCCTCGAGTACTTAATAGTACATGAACAACAACAACAAAAATTGCCTTGATGCTTCACAGCCAGCTAAAGGACTTGTAGAGAAACCCACTTAAATGAAAGTAAGGAAAAACATTATCTTAATTTCTCCCTGAAACTAAGATGTTGCTATCAACCATTTTTTCTGTGTTGAAATAATTTCCATTTTAGGATAACCACTAGATCAGTAAGATAGCGCATCCCTTGATATAGCTACATCAATATACAGCACACCACCAAGTTCTGAACAAAGGCCAACTAGAAGATACCATGATACGCAATTTCACAACAGTGCCCTGCTAAAGATTGTTTATCCAGATTCACCACTGCATGGCAATGCCTTTTGCTTAGGGATTTTGAGGTTGTACTAAAAATACATGTGATCAGCTTTAACACAATTAACTTCTATAGGTATAGAATAATAAGTCTTAAGAGCACACTTAGAGTACAATATTTATATCATTGATATTTTCCTAGGCAGCAGACATATAAAGTATTTAAGTAATATTTAGCATATTTGAAATAAAGAGGAGAACAGATTGTTCCCCCGCATTCACGTTGGAGAAAAGCAAATAAAGAACAAAAGGCGCAGAAAAGCAAGAAGCCACACTGCCACAGTTTGTACTGCCTAACTCTGAGACCGCAAATCTGTCCCGGTGCGGGATGCAGATGCGATCAGGCCATGGGCATCCCAGGGCTGGAAGCAGCCTGCTTGCCTTGCCATCCCTGCCAAAAGAGGGGTGGGGAGGGAGAGTGGCCGGGGGCCCCTATGGAGCAGCCACAGCCCCCCTTCCCTGCAGCCATGGGGCTGAACTCCAGCATCCCCCCCAGCTGTGTGGGGGCATGTCCTTTTCTGTCCTCGCTGCACAGGGCTGAAGCCTCATCTCCCTAACAAATGGTGCCTGGGGAGGGCTGCAGCACCAAGCTTGCACAACAGGAGCGTTCCTCTGTCCCTCCCTGCGCAAGGCTTGCTCGTAGGATTGCAGCCTTCAGCCCAGGGCATTTGCTCCGCACTCAGCTGTATACAGGTTGGGGGTTGCTAGAAAAACACATCCACCCAAGTAATGTACAATAGCTTATGACCATTGGCTTTTAGTTAATGGCACAGAAGGGAAATTTCTGAGTTTTGATTTCAAAAAAGATTGACTACAAAATATAGTATAATTTCTCCCCCCCCCCCAGGGTAATTCAACCTATAGATCTAACTCACTCTTCCCACACTGGAAAAACCTTAAAAATTCAGATTTTTGACTGTAAGAAGATGAATTGATTTACCTCTTAGATTTTTCTGAATGCTCTCTGATGTTCTCTGACCAGCTCTGTATTTAGAACATCAGCTAGTAATCCCTGAATGCATTTTTAGACAGCCTTACCAGAAGCAAAGCAGGCATCAATAAAAAGAGTTTCCAATCAATAGGGGCCTCCCTAAATTGAGTATTCTTCAGGGGTGTACCTGAGAGAAATTTGGCTCTGTGCATTTATTTGGCAAACTTGATTTGTAACCTCAGATGCTTGCTGTTGCCTGCCTACCAATCGCACCTTTTATGTTCCCCTTTTCCTCCCTCTTTGGAGATTTTAAAACTTTCATTTATTTCTTAAAAAAAAAACCCCACAACTACACACAATTTGTTTCCTCAGTCGGTCACAACATTTCACATAGAATTTGCCCTTGGCATTGGCACTGCTCTGGAGAAAAGTATCAGTGATTTGAAATGCATGGTGTAGGTTTTTAGCTGCTTTAACTTGATGTGGCTCCAGTGAAGTTGTTACAAATACTTCATTAATGGTGATGAAGAAAACTCTCTGTAGTTTAAAGGATTGCCCCTTTTTAGCCAGTTTTTACTGCTGCTACCACAGATGTAAATCAATGCCACAAAAGCAAAGTTTGAGGCCTTTTTGTCTCAAAGTTGCTTTTTAATTTCAGATAAATACACAAGAGTATATATTATTTGTGAAAATAGGTGTATTTTGAAGTTCCCCATTATATGGGACTTAGTTTGTAAACTAAAAATGTGAAGTTACTTATGTCTGAAAGAAGCCTTATACCGAGAAGTATTCTCTATATTTTACCTTTTGGTGTAACGTTAAATTTAGATTATACATAGGTTGCATATCTGTGACACTCTAGCGGTTATTCCAAAACTAAAACTAGTTAAAACATTAAAAGTTAAGAGCTTTTGGAAATGTCAGACTTCATAGATTAGTTCTCTTTGTCCTGCAGTCACATAGAATATTTTTTTCCTAGTATGGATCCTAAGAGTGGTCCACTGAACAGTATGCAATAAATCATCAACATGTGCTTTTCAAGTTAAGTGAGTTGACATATATTTTCCACTTGCCTTTGCCAACATCTTTTAAAATGTGACAGAACTATCCCCACACAAAAATCATTCTTTAAGATATCACTCCACTCCTTATTGGGCTTCAACCCGTATCTCTTTCCTATCTGCAAAACCACTGCTGTCCGTTCAGTTTGCTCTATTGCTGAAGTGCTCAGAGGGCTGTTTGAGATCTTAGATATAGGGATGATGGTTTGCATTTCTAGGATGAATTTCAAAGGGACAATCGTGTGCAGTTACTAGCTATAGATGATTGATATAAATGTTTACCCCTGTATGAAGTATTTTACAGTTTTACTTGCAGATGTGTATTTATCTTGAGTTATACTTGACATAGAGTTTCTTTCAATTTTTTTTTAATACTATGTGTGTATTTTGGAAACCTTTTTAGATGTTAAAATTTTTGAATGGTTACAAATATTTCTTGTAATACTGAATTGTTATCTTATCTGGAAACTCTTTGCAGTAACTTTTTTGTATATATTTGAGGGCCTTTTTAAAAAAGTATTGTTTGTTTTTTGGGGAAAAGTTTTTACAATTTGGAAGCTTTCAGAAGGGCCTTCCTCTCAACTAGGATACTAACAGAGGTAAGAGTTTTCTTAAGTATTTTGCAGAACTAAGGATGTATCCTCAAGAAAATATTTATGGAAGTAATTTACTTTTTTTTTTTTTTTTTTTTACAATGCTTTTGTCTGTATAAAGTATGCAACAGAACTACATTAAGAAGGAAATATTGTCTACATAAAATATTATATGAAAGTTGGTACATAATTCTGACAAAAACCTTGCAATTCTTTAAGCCATATTGTTTTTGTTATCCTTGGATGAAAATATCAGTATTAAGTAACCAATATATT